GCCGTCGGTTGAATCGTGCTGGTAGATCGTCTCTGCAATCCACCCGCGGTAAAACATGTCGATATCCCGAGGTTACTCTGCAGTTGGACACTGCAGACGCTGCAGATTGGTGGACGAGGCGTGAAACAATAACCTCGGTGGAACTTGCAGGTCAGCCACCCACACCGTACGGATACCCAAAAGCCCTCTGAGACATGACACTGGCCATGTGGCATTGGGGGACCTGAAAGAGCTTGGCGCCGTGGGCGGCTTCTGCAGCTTTGGTGGTGAAAGGCTGCATCTTCGGCCGAGAGAGGGAGGTCGTACTACTGAGTACTGCCGTGCTCCGTGAGGATGCTCCGTACGCGCAGATGTGGTGCGTTGCATTGAGACACCAGAAATATCGAATCTCAACTGCAGCACGGATACCCGTACGGATACTTCGTGCAGTAGAACAAGGTGTCGCATGCAGCTGCCCGAAAGGGGCTGGCTCGGTGACAAATGCTGCTCCGCTGTGACGCGACCTCAACAGCAGCGCCGCTTGGCGATGACCAAGGTCGACTCGATCCTTTGCCGCTTCTTGGTAAGCCTAAATACCACTGAGGAGACGATCCGGAACTTTATTGTCCCTTCGCAATGTGTTTTTGGGAGAAAAGAGGAGACCAAACATGGTTTTATGTGACCGTGTGCCTCGAACGTTGTCGCTGATATACTCCCAGAAAGCGGTCGGGGAACCATCGATCAGGAATCATCTGCTATAGGGTACAACACAGAAGTCAGATTTTGTTGCTCATCGTGAGTTATTCCGGCACGGCCATTTGGCTGACAGTTCGGGAGGATTATTGCCTCGAGCGTCGTTGCAAGATGCAATAGTCAGCGGCGTCCAGAATGTGAGACATTCATTGAACCTGGACTGGCGGCGACGCGTCAAGGTAGCCAAGCTCCTGAAGAAATCGACAAGCTCATTGTAGATCGAAAATGGCACAAAGCAAGAATCGTCAGCCGTTCGTTCGCAGCGATAACGCCCGCTGCCTCACCCGCCGCCCGTCCCAAAGTTCAACGGCCCAAACTCAAGATGGCGGTCAGTGGTGCCGTGGTGGTGGAACCTGGCGTTGGTAGGTGGCTTCGACGGCGCTGAAGGAAGACGACCCGATTTCGCTGGGTCGTTACCGTCGTGTGCGGACATGGCCGCCGTCTCAGACCCTGAGCTAGGACGCCCCAAGACTTGAAAGACTCCTGATGAACGCGAAGATCGTGGAAGATCAGGGGCTGAATTCTTGTCGCTGCCAGCTGGGAATGGCTTCAAGGGGACAACGTTGTGGTATTCAGCCGCCAAACGGGAAAAAGAGCTGAAAGGCTGTGGATAGCTAGGGGGAGCTTGGGTGCCATTGTGCCACTACCAGCTCTTGGGAATGTCTCGGAAGACCCTGTCGTTCTTGTTTGACCGTGTATGTACTGTGTATGCTGACAGCTAGAAACTAGGGGTGAGAGGACGGATGAACGGCGACAGCGGAGGGCGGAGAAAGCTGGTGGGGAGGTCCCGTCCGCCAAAAACATGAGAGTGAGGTGAGAGGTACGCAGGAGGTACGGCAGCGAATCAGAGATGAGTAATTGTGGAAAATGCTTACCTAAGTCGGCAGCGGAAGTCATTCCCTCCGAGCCACCTTCGACGTCTCTCATTGGCCAGTACGCATGAATAAGGCAGCTCTAGTGATCCTTCGTCTCGCTTAGCTCGAGCTTAGCGGGCTTCTCCCTCTATGAGATTCCCTGAGAACGCTGGCTGTGCCAACTTTAGGCTTCCAAAGTTCATTGAGCCCGCCTGCATTCCCTGTCTCAGCAATGGGACGGCGTGGACGGCACCTAAAATGCCCCCCCAAAAACACAATGACCTGTGGCGCCGGAGACGGATCATCAGCACCCGTGGATCCCATCTCCTTTGGAGGTCTCCCATCTGCCCCTCTCCGGCTCTCCCCCCAACGCCCAGATGACGTGAGACGCCCACCAGACCATCCCACGCATCCAAGCACATCCCAGCCAACATGCATGTGGTTTTGCGTTTCCCACCAAGCACCGCGCACCAAGCACCCCCAAGCCATGCTTTTTCGAATATCCATTCTCAACTCGGAGCTAGCGAGTGGAAGGGTCCCGGCCCGGGGGGCTGAGGTCTTGCGCTGCCATGGCTTGGCTTTACCTCAACCAGGTTGGCTTTCTTCTTGACCACCATCCTTCGCGCGGCGCACCTCCGTCAGCACCAAGAAGCTTTTTGTTGCTTGGGTCGTCAGCTTTTACGTCTGCTTTCTTTTGGCACATGTTCCCCCCGGCCGTCTGACAGAAGCAAGCCAGCTTTTCGACCAAACATCTACCATTGATCCTTACGATCCATAGTATCATCATCGCATCGCGCCTCCAAACCGACAACTTCGAGATACCCAAGAGAGCGACGACAAACTCACCGCACAGATGCTTCGCAAGAAAGAGGTCTACACGACCGTCACTCCAATCCCGGGCTTCATTCCCCGCCAGCTCGCCATCGACATCCTCCACTCCCATTCCGAGGTCATCACCCTCAACCCCCTCGCTCTCGATCACAAGCCCATCAAGGCGCCCCGCGATGCCGCCTCCGACGAGTACTACTCGACATGGTATGAAATCACCGAGCGCATCCAGTACATCCCGGGTATCGGCAAGATGGGGTCTGGCAAGATCAGCTTCAACGGCTGCTTCCACGATATGCCTTGGGGCCTTCAGACGCACACCTACGCCCCGATGAACATCGACATCCGGATCAAGTACAAAATCGACGGCAACCAGCCCGGCTTCGAACCGCCCCAGCCGCCCGAGATTGGCATGTCCGGCCTCGGTGTACCCGCGGACGGGCTGTATCTGCGCGAGGATATCGAGATCCGCTGCAACATCACCATGGTCAACTTCGTCAAGGCGCAGCTCAAGGCCGCAAGCAAGGAAATGGTTTCAAGGATTATCAAGAAGGCGGAGCTGCTCGACGCGGGCGTGTTGCAGGCAATGATTACGGACGGGAAGCTCAAGACTATCAACCCGGCCGACCGCACCAGCACAGGCATGTCCGGCGCGCACTCCCCATTATTCAACCAGCGCCCCGAGGGTAGCCCAAGACCGGAATCGCATTCGCCCACAACACCCTACCAAGTCCCACGACCGGTTTCAATGCAACAGTTTCGCCCCGGCTCGCAGGGCAGCTACGGCGCACACCAAACCCAACCCTCAGAGCTCTACTCCCAGCACAGCGCACCCCAAACATCCTTCATCGCCGAACTCCCAGGAAACTTCTACCACCCGCAGCAATCATCCAACAACCTGCAACCCCCGCAGCCGTCCCCGGGCCTACAGAACGGTGACCGCGACTCCATGTCGCAACAATCGCAATTCTCACCGGACCCAAACTCATGGCGCTGGTCCCAGGGCCAACCAAGCCCGTCGCAACAGAGCTCGCGGCCGACGAGCATGGCGTCGTCCGAGGCGAGTAGCGGGTACGCTAGCCCCGCGCTCGATCACAAGGGGTTCTCGTCCGAGTTGCCCACGCACCCGGAGACGCAGGAGGAGCACCGCGGGGATGCGCATGGCAAGGCGGTGGAGGCGGCGCAGCAGCAGCAACAGCAGCATAGGGTCAAGGGACCGCAGGCGTATCCGGCGTATGGGCAGGCTTATGCTTATAATCCTGCAGATTATGCGCCGTTGAGTAGATGATGAGGGATCGCCTCGCAGAGTGTGATTGCTGGCGTGTTTGTGTTATAATACCAGGAGTTTTAAGGGATTGAAATGAGTGCGGATTCGGGCTTGGTTTGGCAAACACCTTCTTTCAATGATACCGCTGTTTGGGGGGAATGAGATATTATGTGTTGTACCCATAGGTGATATCAACTGGCCAACGATGGGCAAATAGGAAAAAGGAGTCTTCTCTTTCAATCTATTTCATAATGATATTCCACAATTTATAAGGTTATCCCATCCGTGGACACTTCTCTCTTTCAATTTTATTCGTCTTGTACTACGGCTGGATGAGTCGTCTGGTAGTAAGGCCACTTCTGCCGACGCCGAATAATGCGAAAGCTCTGTAACGAATTGAAAGATGAGCATCTATCACCAAGTACCTGGAGACGGTGTCGTTAACAGCCATCTTGATGAAGTTAATGCCTTGGTTATCCCTAGCAGAGAACTTCTCGCCGCGTTGACGAACGTCGATGAGTTGCGACGGGTTACGTGGGCCATGTCACTGTCCCATTTGATTCGCCCAGTATTGAGACGATGGAATGCCATTAATTGGGAATTTATTCTCAAAAAATGTTTTTAGTGGACGGGTATATCAAGAGTGTGTCAGATATAAGATACCTACTAAGTAAACAAAACACTCGGGAAACTAGATTTCAAAATAGTTGTGAAACGATCAAGTAACCAATTTCCAATCGCCAAAACGATGACAATCACAAGAAGAGTACATCACAGTCCGCTCTGCAACCAAGTAAGTAGGTAACGCTTCCGTTTTCTTCAAGCGATCACGATTGCTGCGGAAGAACAGTTGCGCGGTTAATTGGTTCAGACGAGGCCATGTCTTGGATGTGTGTCGAAACAGCCGGCGCAACAAACCAACAATCCTCGTCTACTATCATGTAATGGTTTGATGCTCATTGATGTGCTGGGAAAACCATTCTAGGTTTCTAAAGAGGATCTCGTCTTCTCTCCCACGCCTAGCCAAGCACTAGATATCGTGTCGCAAAAGATTCGTCGAATCGACGCGTACTTTGAAGCCAACTCATCTTATTGATACCTGTTGAGAACCGTCATAGCTACGAGCACAAAATGGGAACCGCGTATAATACATAACAAATCCTCGCAATTGCCCAGCAAACCTCTCTCTTATTCCAGACATCTTTTTTCGACAAAAAGTCTCGCCTCTGTCGCTCTCACCTCGATCATGCTATTGAGCTGATCATGTCTAAGATCGGCCATCAAAGTCACTACACCGGTTCGCCCAAGTCGCCACAACTTCATGCGTTAACCTTGCGAGGACGGCCGCGAGCACGCTTCTTGGGGGGCTCTTCGTCTGCTTCAGACTGCTCCTTGGCCGCAGGCTCGGGCTTATCCTCTGCAGCGGATGCTTCTTCAGACTTCTCAGGCTGCGACTCTTCAGCCGCGGTGTCGTCACGCTTCTGCTTGCGTCCGGGTCTGCCCCTGGGCTTAGGCTCCCTTGAAGCTTCTTTCAAGACCTCAACCTCGACATCTGACTCGGCAGCATTGTTCTTGCGAGGCCGACCGCGTCCCTTCTTGACAGGCATGGCAACAGCTTTGATGCACTTCTCGCGTCCACCCTTGGACTTCCAATAATTCTCGACGTGCTGTCGGGCATACACCTCGACTTGCGACTCAGGCTCCCATGATCGCTCAGGGGAACCAATCCAGCAAACGTAGAGCTGGACTGCGCCAGAAGGCTTCTGCTTGTGCTTTTCTACTCGGAGAGCGTGCCAGAGATTCTTGTCGGCCATGGCACCTAGCCTGCCACCCTTGAGGCTGTTCCAGTACGCAAACAGTGCTTCCTCGGCATCCTCGTGAATAGTCTGTTCAGTCTCCCACGTGGGATCGTCGTGCTTCCAGTTGATGTGCATTTGAAAAAGGGTTTTGTCGTTAGGATCGCGGCGATGGCCAAGGATCTTGTCAAACACGAACATGCCGTTCTTTGGATCGTCCATCTCTACGTCCTCGTCGCCCGCCGCATTCGTAGCCGAGTTCTCCGTAGGAGCAGCCTCAACAGTGTCGGCGTTATCAATGGACGTGGCAACGTTGATCTCGGCATCCTCTGCTGCAGGAGAAGCCACTACAGCCAGTTAGCCTTGATCCCTGTTAAAAAGGACATGTAGCATACCTTGTACTGCCTCCTTGACTGGGCTCTTTGCGCGAATCTCCTCAGCCTCTACTTCGGCTTCAAACTGGTTTCCGAGCTGGATAGTGGTGTTGCCTTCAGTGCCATTCGCAGCCTCAATCTCTTGATCGGCCTCCTTATCAGCAGGAGCAGGACTTTCCTCTACATTCGGCTCTCTACTGCGCTTGCGGCTCACGATGGTCTGTTCAAAGGTTGTTGTGACAGTTGCAGTACCAGTGCGCTGTCCAGTTATATTGTTGACCACGTTGGAAAATGTCTTGCGAACAGAGGACACAACGCCAGTCCGGGGTGCACTGGGTTCCGGTGTAGACCCGGAGGCTTCAGCGTCAGGGGTAGCCTCCATGGCAGTGACTGGGGCAGTGGACGAGGTCGGCTCTGAGGTATCGTTCTCGGCGGGAGTAGCGGCAGTAACGGTATCGGCAGGCGTGCTACGGTCGGCAGTATCCACGTCGTCGGCGGTATCGCTCAAAGCCTTGCGCGGCGAAGGGCTTACGGGGAGGCGCGGAGAGGGGTTTTGCGAAGGCGGCGAACGGGATCGCGATGCATCCGAACGGGGAGTTCCAGTGGGCGCGAGGCTCTTGATGCGCTTGTTCGGGTGCGGCGACTGAGAGCCGGAGGGCTTGCCCGGTGATGAGAGGAAGGTGTTAAATGCGCCGTTCTTTGTGCTCTGAGGTTTCTTGACCGACTGAGTGCCGTTAGGCGGCGCAGGAGATTCAGCCAATCGAGCCATGATGGAGGAATCTAATCTAGATGATATCTGGTGATGGGCGAGGCGTTTGGGCGCTCGGATGGCGTGGATCGTTTGGCTTGCGCCAGTCGAAATCGTTCAATATCGATGACGATTCCTGTATTCAAAAACCAATTGGCTCGCAAAAAAAGGGCGCACGATGAACGGGGACAGGTTGCGGCCAATTGCGCGGTGTTAAAGGCAGAGTGATTGACTCGGCGACGTTTTCTGAGGTGAAATGAGAAGAAGTCGAGGCGTGCGGTGCTGGGCAGCTTCGGTCGCGGGAGGAGCTTTGGCCTTTGGTTTCTGCTCTGTTGAGTGCAGGTGCGGTGCGGGTGCTCTCCACTGTCGTTCCTGCTCCCATCCGGGCGGTGCTGCTGACGTAAGAGGATCAAGCTATTAAGTTTGGCGCGGAAGCTACGACCGGGAACTTCAAGGAAGGTGCCTTACGCGACGCGATGACAGTGGGATCAGGGTGGGGCTTCGGCCGTTGGTTTCCATAGGTTCCCTGTCACTACGTACTTACGCACTCCAGAAGAAGGTTAGCGCACGTGATTTATCCACCCATCCTTCCTGTCGGGTCAGATGTGAGGCAACATGGGTCATCTTGAAATAGGTCATCTTCTCTTTCTCCAAGCTTCGTTGTTGAATCCTTTCGAATATGCCCATCTTCTGTGAACCCTCCATTTGATGTTTCAAACCCGAAGACGTCCTATCCTTCATGCACAGCCATCTTTCGAGGCGACAAACGCGGCCTTCGGCGCCGCTAGGCGAGCAACGTCGTACTACCTTACCTACAGTAGCGGGCAGCATTCTCTCTGATTTCAAGGACAATAGCTTGGTCTCGATCTTTTCTAGGATCAAGTCTACGTTCCGCTGCGTTGACTCTTCCTGTTTCTACACCAAACTAAGCTACAGATTTCCCAAACAGCAAGAATGGTGGGGACTATCGGCCAAATCCACCCGTTCGGCACACCACCGTCCTTCGAACCACCTCGTTCAATGATGCAGCTTCAACATTAAGGCCAGCCTCTTTATCCTCCTGATTCAGCAAAGGAAGAAGCTCAGGCCGCTGAGATTACCTTGGTCAACGCCCGTTCTCTCGTTCTGCTGGGCTAGACGACGTGGGGGCGGGAGGCGCAGACCTGCCAATCTGCAATTACGTGCCATAAGCCGCATGACTGCCGCACAATCCTCAATTCACCAGCATGGAATTGGCTGAAATGCCCTCTGCGGAGCGGCGCAGTGGGAGGCCCTTGTCGCCAGATCGTTGCGACCCTACAGGCTACTTTGACACGCCAGGCGTCATCCCCTTTGCTGCTGCCTCTTTACCATTCGGATGCGTAGCCTTCGACAGAATGGATGTGTGCTGTGAGGCAGCCAAAATGGGCTGTGCTCAGGCTGAATCTTTATAAACAAACCATTTCTCTTCGCTTCTCTAGGCTTTTGATGCGAAACCAACCGACAATACTCACGAGTCGAAGGAGTCATTATGGAAGCAGTAGGCGGAACCGCTGCCATCTTGCAGCTGATCGATGTGGCGCTTAAGACCACCATCCAAGTATACAAGATCTACGCAGATTTCAGAGATGCCGAGGACTTCCATAAACGATTAGTTAGGGAGATGCACGATCTTGTTAATGTCCTCCATCAGCTACTGGATTTAGTCTTAGTCAGCGATCCCAACGAACCGAAATGCGGACACGCTCAAGCTCTGCGAGGAATGCTGGAAGGGAAAGACAACCTCGTGTCGTGTTGCCAAGAGGATATTGACGAAATCTCGAAGCTCCTAGGAAAGGTCGCATCAGCATCATGGCCAATTAGGAAGAGAAAAATTGACCGAATTCTCTCCAACATTGCATCAACTAGAGCACAACTAGGCCTTGCGGTTCAAACGCAGTCCATGTGAGACATAAGGATGCAACATATACTGGTTAAAAGACTGACTAGATTAGGGCTACCGTAATGGATATCCGTCGCATGTTGACTAGGTATGAATCCGACATGAGACAATATGTTGAGTCTGAGTCGCATAAGGCCATTTTGGCGTGGCTGAAACCACCCGACGTATGGAAGAACCTAAGAAATGCTCTGCAAAAGCGACAGCCAGGAACGGGCGAATGGCTACTGAAGGCGTCCGAATTTGAACACTGGAAGGGAAACCCGGGTACTTTGTGGTTATCCGGCATGCCGGGAGCCGGAAAGACCATCATGAGCTCAACCATAGTGACCTCTTTGCTAAGCGAAGCCCAAACATCTACATCAGCAGTTGTCTACTCGTACTTCGATTTCTCCAATGAGTCGCAGCAAGAAGCTCAGTCATTTCTACGAACATGCATCGCTCAACTTGCAGCAAAGAAACCTGCGGCCTTCGATATCCTTCTCGGCCTCCGCAATCAGTTTTCGGAAGCCCAGAGTCAGCAGCCCGGACTTGAAGAGCTTCTCGAAGCAACAGTTGCCGCCCTGAGGTGCTTTCACCGAGTATTCGTTGTGGTCGATGCGCTGGATGAGTGTTCGGAACGTAAAAGGTTGCTGAAAGTAGTCGAAGAACTCCAGTCCCTACGCAACCTTCACCTAGTCCTCCTGAGTCGCCCAGAACGGGAAATCGAAAAGGCCTTGTCGTCTTCAGCAAAAGAGTTGCCACTGCGTGGCGTTCAAGTTGATCATGATATTGCAGCCTACATTCGACAGAGAATTCACCACTCGGATGAGATGCAAGAATGGATGGCAGAAGATAGGGCCAAAGTTGAAAGCCAGCTGATTGAAATGGCCGGTGGAATGTGAGTTTTGGTCTTTTTGCTCCCTTTGAGACGTTACAACGCAGCTAACCTGAAATGATGTCAAGGTTTCGTTGGGTGCATTGCCAACTGGACGCTTTGGAGCAATGCATTGATTCTAACCAAGTCGACGAGACCCTCGCCTCTTTACCGTCGGACCTACCGTCGACATATGAAAGAATACTGGTCAACATGGACGCCAAATCGGCGGCGCGAGTTCGAGATGTCCTGGTAGCATTGGCCTTTGCTCGAAGGCCTTTGCAGGTTGGCGAAGTCATGGATGTTATAAGCATATCTCTGCAAGACTATCCTCGAGCGAAGAAGAGTGGGAATAAGGTCTACTTGAACCAGCTGCTGTCTTCCTGCTCGAGTATGGTGGCAATCTCTACCAGCGGTGGTGGCGAGAGGAAAAAACAAGAGATGCGTCTTGCGCATGCCTCAGTTAAGGACTATCTTATCTCTGAACATTTGCGCAATGGACCGGCATCTGCATTCTTCACAACATCTGGACAGGGACACCTTTTCATGGCCGCTAAAAGTGTTGCGTGTCTGTTGGACCAGAACGACGTCAGCCGCTTCGGGCCACACACCTTGGAAGAGGTTCCCTTTCTGTTATACTCTGCTCTGAACTGGGTCCATCACGCGAGGGATGCCAACCTGGAGTCTGACCGTGGCAGTCTTGACGACTTGATTTTCTCCCTGCTCCATCGCGATGGCGACTCTTATGTCAACTGGCATCGTGTGGTAGGCTGCCATGGGCCTGCAACACCAGTGGAGGGTTTTGCATGGGATATCCACATCCGAGAGGGCAGCAGACTCATCGACGGCGGTCGACCAGCCCACAAAGAACGACTGCTAGACGGCCACTTTATTGATCGCCCGCTCCATCATGCAACGCAATGGAACCTGTGGCGCGTTGTCCAGCGTCTTCTTGATGCTGGCCATGATCCTAACGGTTACAGTAGAGGAAACCACGCTCCCCTTCACTGCGGGGTACCCCAGCGGGCCCTAGAGTCGATGGATCTTATTCTCAAGCAAGGTGGAAATATCAACATCTGCGACTGGATTGGCGATACCCCAGCTATGTTTGCCGCGCACAAGTCCAAGGACCCAGTAACGATGGAGTGGCTAATGGACCGCGGCGCAAGCCTTTTACATGTCAGCAGAAGATCCGGCAATCTCTTACAATGCGCAGCTATAGAGGGTAACCCAGATGTGTTGGAAGTGATTTTACGGAAGAAACCGCACGGTATATCACCCGACATTGGGACTGATCATAATTATGACGAAATTGCTGATCTGGCCACACCGCTTCAATTTGCAGCATATGGAGGAAACCTGGCATGCATCGAGTTACTGCTAATGTACGGTGCCAACATCAACTTGGGTAAAGGCAAAGTTGGGACACCCCTTCATGCTGCAGCGGCGTCAGGGAATCTGAAGGCCCTTCAGCTCTTGTTAAGTAGGGGGGCGAATCCCAATGTTGTCAATGGACAATACGGCAGTGTTATTTGGGCTGCTGGGTACGGTGGCGACCGTGAATGCGTTCGCTTTTGTCTACAACTGGGACTGCCTATCGACGGACTGGATACTAAGGATCTCTCTCCTGGCAAGAATTGGCAGGGTCTTGCTGAAGATGAAAGGGAGGCACTCTTGTCTGACATTATAAAAACTGCAGGAGACCGCTACTGTCGAGACATCCTTGACGCCGCCCGGTTGGGCATGACTTCGCGCGTCAAGGCATATCTTGATAGTGCCACGGACCGCAAGGCCGAACTTGGAAAGAAGCACGATCTTCACATGCGGACGCCTCTGCTGTGGGCGGCGGCAGAGGGTCATATCGAAACTGTGAAGTACTTGGCAATGGAGGGCGCAAGCCTTAATCAATGGGGGAGAGGTCTCGACACACCGCTTGAGATTGGGTGCCTTGCCGGCCGCTTGGACATGGTAAAGTGTCTATTGGCTTTAGGGGCAAGGGCCGAATTCCGACAGGCAGGAAAATATCGGACTGCAGTCGTATGTGCTGGGATCAGTGGCAACAAGGAGTTGGTCGAGTTTTTGAAGGCACTGGAAGAGGATCGGACTCTGACGTTCGAGTTTGAGGGGCAGACCTACGAGCATGATGGAGACAAGGGCTACAAGCGAAAGGCATGACTGGTAGATAGCCTGTTGGACAATCATCTCATTTGGAAAACTGTTAGGGAAGAAAGCGCAGAACCCTTGGGAATTGACGTCGGTGAGCTGGACTCCATATCAGTGCGATGAAACCGGGGTATACCGTACCCACTTAATCGGCCGGTCAATTATGGATGTGGTACGGAGAGGGTGGGGATCCCGGCACCGGTAACGGAGCTTCGTGAACAGGCGGCGGAAGAAGAGACGGCCCTCGTCTACCGAGTATCCCTCTCTATTCCGTAGCTTGGGTGCAGTGATGTGGAGGAAAGATCCGTACGGAGCACTTCGTACCCTGTCAAGTTCTCACTTATCACCGACCCCATGTTCACCTGTGACTTGCAGGACGTTTGCTGCCAGAGAGCCGTGGTTTAATGGAATGGCTGGGGTAATTTCCCCGGGACAAGTGTGCGCAGCCCCAGGAGAACTCAGAAGCGACAAAAGCATGTCATGGAGCATTCAAGGTTGGCTCTGAAAGAGTAAAAAAAGGTAAGCGGTCACTCTCAAGACTGACGACACCGTGTTCTTCATCCCAGGTGATTCGTCGATTGAAGAGTGCAGCCGTCTAAAAAAGGAACAGGGCAGCATCGTCCACTCGGCATGGCACCCCGGAAGTTGAACCCAGTCCCAGCGATTCGCGAAACTTGGAGGTGAGGATACATCCCACTCATTCCGCCTGATTGGAGCTTCCCGGGATCCGAGGATGTATGAGTGCCGCAGATATTGGTGATGTGGGCAGACAAAGTTGACAATCGTGGAGGTTGGGCGACGTTTGGGCGCAGCCAGGTGAGAGTGCGAGTATCCGCAAAGTTGAAGGTTGAGTGGAACCCCCCAGCCACTGGAATTGTCGACACCCGACGGGGCCCACGGGGGGACCTGAAGGCGCGAGAAGATGGGCGCTGCCCCGCCGAGCTGGACGACACCACAGCAGCGCTGCACGTAATTAAATGTGGTGCGATTTAAGTGGACGTTGGGAATTTGTTAGTGCATACGAAAGTACGGAGTACTCTCTGTGTTCGTTTCCCAGCCACTTTGAATCTTTACGAAAGTCAAGTTGTCAAACCCTGAAATGTCCAAGAGCCCAAATTCTTTCTCTCGCTCGGGTACATTGTCTGTTCCTCTTTTTGCTTTTGAGTTCGGATAGTATCATCCTTTTCCCTTCTCTCGTTAGCTTCCGCGCCTGGCGAGATCTTGCAACCACGCTTCTTTTTCTTCTGTGTGTTGGCATCGTCTGAGTTGAGACACAGGCACCAGACACAGACATACAGAGAGAGACGAGACAAGCCCCTCAATACAACGGTTCTCAACGGTCTTTCCCGGCCTATCTTACCTAGTCCATCTTGAGTTGTCTTTTTTGGATCAATCTCACTTCACGTCAAACCTGTCAAAACACTAGAAACAAACGTCAACTCTATCCGCACCTCACCAACATCACCACCACCAAATTCACAACCATTCTGCCCCAACACCACCACCACCCCGCCGCCGTCGCAAGAGACATCGATCCCGTCTCGTTTGCCATCATGGCCATGGGACTCCAGCAGCAGCAACATACCCAGGGCTCGCCGCCCATCCACTTCCCCGGCGACTTTGTCGAGTACGGCCAGCAGTACGACAACAACAGCGGCCACCACAGCGACCCGTCCTCTTCTCAACAGCGTCAATCCCGCGGCGAGGGCGGCAGGAACGGCCGGTATCGAAGACCGCGTTCCCCTTCCCTCGACGACGATTCTCGCTTCACTACCGGGCCCAGCGGCGGTGAGGATCCGCGGGCTAGCTCTGACGCTGCGCTGCATGATGCCGTGCTCGCGCAGGCGCCCCATCAACAGGTGAGTTTACAGACGTAAAGTTCAATCAGGGGAATTTTTGAGATGAGGGATCGATCGGAGAGTGAGGGTAGTAAAAGAAGAAAAAAAGCAATGGCTCGGCGAAACACGCACCAGCCACGCTCAATTCCAATACACCTCAACCACCCACCCCCTTATCTCTCTTTCACCCCAGCACTCAAGAACTCACTTCACCCAACTCACCTCACTTCACTTCATCTCACTCACTCACTCCCCAAACTCACAATCTCCAACTCATCTCACTAAAGGGCGGCTTTTGAGACCGCCCTCCCCCCAACACCCAACACCCTACACACAAAATCACAAAACACAACGCACAAACACACACGCACATACACAACCCGCATCGTCACCGAAAAAACCATCTGACCGCAATGCAGCAGCGCGTAATCCCAACAAACGGCCGCAACGGAGGCCAACCCCGCGCCGCAGGCCCTCGCGCACCCCCCGCCGCCGCAAACGCATCCCAGAACCGCCGCTCCCAGCCCCCGCCAGTCAACTCCCAGCTGCCGCCCTACATCGGCGAGAACCCCGACGAATGGAGCCCGTCCAAGGACGCCGCAGGAGCAGGCGGCTACTCCCGCCGCCGCACAGAGCGCCACGCCCGCCGGCAATCCTCCACCGGCAGCCGCGCCCCGGGAGCCCCGGACCCGCCCCAAATGAGCGGCGGCGCGTCCCCGCGCGGCCCGCCCGAAAGCCAGCACTCTCCCAGAGATAGACTCCCGTCCCAGCAGCTACAGCAGCAACAGCGAGAGCAGCACATCCCCAACCCGGCAGGCGGTCTTCGCCCTCCTTCCCCGCCAGCCGTGAACGAGAGCACCCTCAGCGACATCAGCCGCGTCAACAGCCCCAGCATCTCCAAATCCGTCCTCGAGCCCCTCCAGCGCAAGATGCTCGAGTACCACCGCCTCATGGACGAAGCTCAGGGCCAGATGGCGCAGTACGACGAGGAGCTTCGCCTCCTGCAGGAGCGCCGCCGTCTAGCCGAGCAGAGGTTCGTCGATGCAAAGACTAAGCACGATGAGTACGAGAGGCAGCACCTCGATGTCGAGCGTGCGCTGCGCGGTGATTATGCGCCGCCTCAGCAGGTGCAGCAGCAGCAGCAGATGATGCAGCAGCAGCAGAGTCAGCAGCAGATGTATCAGAATAGTCCGCCCAGGACGGTGCCGAGACCGGCGTCGAGTATTATGAGCTATGATGATCGGCCGATGAGCGGGCACAGCTCGGGCCCAAAAAAGGGGAAGTTGAGGTTCAGTTTGTTTGGGAGGTAGATGTGTTCGGGAGGCTGGGAACGATAGATTGTGTGTTGTTTGGGTGGATAGAGCGGCTTTAGAGAGAGGCCCTTTTTGCTCGTAACTTCTTTTGTGTTAATATTCTTATGGATGGGGGGGTTTTCTGGGATGGAGGACAAAGGGGCTGTCATGTTTGGGTGATGGCATTGATGTAATGACTGGAGCAACGTACAATATGGTATGTCAAAGATTGGTTTCATGGCAAATATGGTTTCATTGTTCATTGTGTTTTTGTTTCTTGGAAGCTGATGCTGTTGGCGTTGTCATTGCATCATTTCACTCGAAACTCACCCCAATTTGGCCTTTAGTTGGTTACTGGGAAAGCAAGAACCAGAAACTTGGTTTATTGGTTGATCGAGATATAGTGAGTGGAGGGCTGGCTATCTCCTAGACAAACCGAATGACAATCATGCAAGTCTGCTATAGATGAGTTGTTGTTAAAACATGCCACGTACGCAGTCATCCCAGACTCCCAGCTCAAAGCTCCCAATGCAACTTGTTTGGGTGAGAATATCGCAGACCTCACAAGGCATTTCGCTGCCATGCCAGTAGCTTATATTCCATTGCTGCAAACACCTTATTCTGCTGTTACAGTAGCTTCTGTTCTTAGACAACTCTGGTCATCAGTCTCTCGACAAGAACAGCCAAGTATATATTGAGCCACAACATTTCTCCCATGTGCTCTTAACCTCACATTCTCATACTCTCAAGCTTCCAGGTCATAAACATTCAAGGTCATCAAGCTTTTGGGAACCCAGATAGGGGCACCTACAAACTACCCCTGAGATCGTCTCTCATCCATAGCTGCTTCTATCCCCCAGTCATCTCTACCCGCGCGGATAGAGACGTCCAAATAAGAAATTCTCATGCATACATCATTGGCGTTTTGACTTGGACGTCACCTTTCTTGATTCCTGTAGGTGGAAAGTTTATCCGAGCCAGAGGGCATCGGATGAATATTCAGGTCAACATGTCTGCTCCCGCGCCTCCAACTCGAATATCCAATCAGATGCCCCGCTTTCCGTTTGCAAATGCTTCCTTCCTTCTTTCACTCGCCGCACTACGAATTTTTTTGACCGCTACATCCTTTTTTTGGTCTCCCACTTGAGTCGCGAGTGAAATACCATGAACCGCGCCGCGTCCCTCTCACACTCGTTACTCGAACTCATCGCGACATGGCCTTCTCGTTACTCGGTCCCATGGATCAAATGGCAGCAATCATGGATCAACTTAAGGAACCGGACAAAAATCACATTTGCTCAGTCCTCCCGACCAAGAAGTTCCCCAACAGCCTTCTGACGCAGACTCATCGTGAGCTAGCCCGACTGTACGAGGCTCATGGTGAGACCGTGGTCGCCTACTGGAAGGGACTTGACCGACCGGGACGAGAGGTCGTGTTGAGGAACAGCTCCATGTGCCCCGTTCTGAGAACCGTCCAATCCCCTGGCGCCGGGTTTTCTCATTTTCTCGGACCTGAGTGGAATCATGAAGACATCACCAATTCAGACAACAATGTCTTCCTCGACGTTCTTGAATATCGCGCCACACAATCTCTCACCCACCAATTCACCATTGGCCCAAATGGCACACAAGGCGACTGCGTCTTCACCTGCGCAAGATTCGCTGAACATCTCATCCCGTGTCTTGAACACTTTGACGGCGACGTCATGGTATTTGAGGACTGTGAAGAGTACCCTCGCACTGCCGACATCGTTGCCTACTGGGAAGCCATAGCCGGCGTCAGAACGGATCGCCATCTGTGGGTACCCGGACCTGTTGGTGAGCTGATTGTCGCGAGACAGATGTTCTGGGCAGAGATTCTTCATCGAGCGCTCGTCACCATCCTCACAGTCCTGGCCACCGATCGCAAACACCCAAACTGCACATGTCACGAACACGACAAGGAAGAGGTTCATGGGAACGAGGTTCTTCCTCAGCTCACACTCACTAGTGACTCCGGCCTCCGGCCCTTCATCAACTTCATCAAAGCTGAGGAGGATGAGACAATTCTCTGGTCGCAGAAACTTCTGACAAAGCCTGATATTCTCCTGATGGAGGCTACGAACTAGTGGCTCAGCCTCCCAGAGAGAGTCCCAGACGCCAGCGGACACATACTCAGCGTGGGAGACCTTGACAGATACGTCGGGGCCTGCATCTTCGATCCCTACTACGCTGCTGAGAAGGATTCCAACACCTCTTACTACATTCGCGTCCTTCTGTGTTCAATCCACATAATGGACAACTCGCGAAAGACGGCCAAACGACGCGACTTCCTGCTGCAGGAGCTATCAAACGTCCTTCACCTCAAGTTCCTGAAGTTGCTGGAGTGCGTCAAACGATGGCTCCAGTGCGGCAAAGCAGAAAAGTACTTCAAGCGTGTCCCAAACACTTACGATCACTTGGGCAGCGAAGTTGTAGTCGTCAAGGATCGAGTAATTGACAGCAAGAATCGCAAGATATACTACGGTATGCAGCTTTGCAAGCCAGGATTGACTCACAGACACGCCAGCTTCTGGCTCAGGAAGCTGGCCCCATACTACAAGAACAAAGTCCCAGGAGTTGCAACCATGGTCCCAGAGGGCGTTGAGTTCTCAGAGTTCCACACGAGCATCAACTTCTCTAACCTCAATCTGCTCGTGAGCTTCATCTCTGATCTGGACAAACAACTGTGCCTCCCGCCCGTGAGCGATACGAAAGGGCAGCTGTACATTTCACGCGTCAAGGAGCTGGAGGTCGAGCTCGCCACCGTCAAGAGGAACCTGGACCTCCGCAGGATCGCGCCCGACATTGACCGGCTAGCTGAGCCTCTCGTCACTTCCGCGGCAAAGGACAAGGTCGCCAATGCGATTGAGGAGAAGCTGGGCACCTCTCTTGCAAACCGCTATTGGAACCTGGTGCAGAGCTGTGTCGACAACTTTCCGGATCTCGGACACTACGAGAACAGCAGAGTCAACTTTGACGTCTGCTTCCCGAAGTCGTGTCAATGTGAGTCGGAGAAGTCGGCTGAGCCTGCCAAGAAGAAGAAGAGAAAGCCGAAAAAGAAGAAGCCGGAGAAAGTCGTAGAGGAGTCTAATGTCCTGCCGGAGCTTGAGGAGGGTCACGATGCCTGGGTCAACGATCTGAATACCCCGTGGCTGTCAAAGCCTGATGGGGATTCTTCGTGGGATGAGCTCGCGACTTCCGTGACCGGATCGCTCTCCTTGAATGAGCCTGAGCTCGATCTTCCCGGCGACGGTGTCTCCTTCGACGCTTCGCAGGACCCGGGCGACTCTGAGTCTGTACTTGCTGACGCTGAGCCGCAGGCTTCTGACCCCTGGGCCAACTTTCCCGAGGCCTCAGGTAGCGTTTCTGATGCTGCAACTACGCCAACCGAAGCTAGCTTCAGCCAATCTCTTCGCGAAGATGATGACGAGCATGAGGAGCATGATGGACATGATGGCGAGCAGAATGAGAACCAGCATTTTGACGAGGACGAACAGGAGATCATGGAGGGCCCCCGCAACCAAGACGCCAGCCTCCTAAACAAACCTGACACCGAAGACGGACCCTCGACTCCTCCCCAAGAAGTCATCTACGTCAGCGCCCGGACAGCAACCGTCATGGCAACAATGTTCGACAAGTCCGTCCACCAGGGATCCCTCACCTGGCCCGAATTCATAGCCGCCATGGTTGAAGTAGGCTTCACCGCCGACAAGAAAAAGGGCTCCGCAATCGCCTTCGTACCCTTGCCGCGGGAAGACGGCACTTCGAGATGGAAGCAGTCGATTCAGTTCCACATCACGCACGGCAGCGCGTCGTCGAGGGTCGAGGGGTACCGGTCGCGTAAGATGGCTCATCGGTTGACGAAGGCTTTTGGATGGAATGCGAAGACGTTCCAGATTGCTTGATTGCTGGTTGGCATTGGCGGGATTTGTGCCACCGGGAGTCAAATTTTGCAGTAGCTAAGATCTTTGGCTTTTGCTGTATTTGGGGACGACTTCTGAAGATTGCGAAGATGTGGCGTATGTGGGGCACAGAGACACGGTGGCTTGCTTCTGTTCTTGGATGCTGGCAGGGACACGATATCGAGACTTTTGCTTCATCTGCACATGGTCCTGATTTTGTTTCTCTAGTATCCTTGGTTCGTTGATAGCTGCTGAGCATTCATGGCTCTTGATTTGTTTTGGACTTTGTTTTGTCAGTTGCTTTCTGCATTGACACTTCTCTTCTCTTCAATGTGACAATCGCCCCTTTTCCATTGCTTTCAATATTTCTTCCGATTTCATTTCCTCCAATGTGACCTAAGTTCTACACGCTTGTATGCATTGCATTCAAGATGTTTCATTCCATACCATCGTGACACGACTAGAACTTTTGGAATAGGGGCGTTCATCAATCCCCGAAACCGAACTACACCGCCGGTAAAATCTTCTTCCCCCGGGATAGCTGTTCGAACTCTCCCTCTGGCGTGTATGAGACGCTCAAGGGAATAACTCAATGTTTTTGAGAGAACTTGGCCGCCTCTCGAGTAACCAACAGGGTTCGAGGAGTCAGTTATGTCGAGAACCGGATTTCGTAAGTACGTTGGATGTTCTCTCAAAAACTATGCTTCCTTGTTGAGAATATCCATAATAAGTTCACTGCAATCACCGTAGATTGAATCTCGGGGCTTTGTAGACCAGATGCAGAGAATCGGACATGGTCATGGGAGGCAGGAGCCAACGCATGCCCAACAAAGAGTCTTGATCATACCCGAGCTTGGGGACACCATGATCCCAATTCCGCAGGCCTTGTCGCAGCGCTGCAATCATACAAGTCGTACGAGGACTTTATAGGTCAAGCACCAACCGCAGATGGCCACCTAGACAGCGACCTGATCGCTCCCGAGACTGAGGTCACCGCGGCCAACTCTCACGAAGCAATTGAGCAGTTGTCTAGCCTCCCCGCCAATAGTGTTCAACCCAACTAAAGAATAGAGGAGAGCCACGGAGTAGACCATCTTATATCAAAAGCCGGAGTAGTCTTCCGTCAAGCTATAGTCTTTTCCATCTTACTTACCCTCTCTCTTACTTTCCAAAACCGGGCCCACGGCGACGCCCGGGTGCGGGCGGTGGGGCAACTTGACCACCTACTGTTCGCTGGCTAGATACGAAATTCGACAGATGAAGGTTCTTCGGTTCTTTCATCAAGTGAATCAGCCCACAAACTCTGGCGGCCGTGCTCCCTGTTGAGCTCTACTTCCCAGCTCACGATTGCAGATAAGTCGATCACCTTCAATGACTGGAGGTTACGCAACGATTTGAGCGCTTTACTGACCCCGATATCAAGTGTTTTCTCAAAATGATCACAGAAAGCTGCCGAACTTGCCAGAAGCGACGGGCCCACGCTCAAAAAATCGGCCAGTATGTCTGAGCTCCGGAATCCCCAGCAAGTACTGGTCGTGTAGTGGTAGAGAACTAACCAGCTTGAGGCGGATTGCAGCCTCATGGATATCGAGACGTTTTTGTGGTTCTCCCTAAGAAGACGTGCTCTTCCTCCGCTATTTTCCTCACATGTTGAGTTATTGGACCTTTCCATGAATACTTGCAGCACCTGGCTTGCGATTCAGAGAAGCTACAGAAAAAGATAGGCTGTCTCCAAGGCAAAGAAAGGGGGCTCGTCGAAGTACCGGAGAAGATGTAATAGAAACTAATCGACCTGTGCGGTTGACCCCGGGCCTCTCTGCTGTGTACGCAAGCATTACCCCTCCGGGGCTTTGATTTCCGTTGGTACTTCGATGTTGAGTATCAGGAGAAGTTCGAGATATTCGTCGATATTGCGAACAGTTCAATCACTTCTATTGATAAAGTCGATCACGAACTCACAGACTTCAAGGGTTTCTTTTCTATTGTTAATATCCTTCTCACTCGTCGCGCCCTCAAACCTAGTAACTTCAGGAAGGCTCCCGCGATATTCATCACCCTACCGTCTTGTTTATGGACCCCAAAGCCATTCTTACCCTTGGCCATCTGTCCCGATAGAGTCATGCATTGCTGTCGGGCTAAGAATGGATGAGACGGTCATGTGTGGCCCAGATTCCACATGATAGCTTCAAGACAAGATGGTTCAGGCTGTCGAATGTCGACATTTTAGCCCTAAAACAAAGTTGTCGTATCAGCCCTGGTGTGGCTGCGCACATAGAGGATAGCGTGTCTCTCCCCTGTCGAGGAGGTCTCACTTTTCTTGGCTCGTATCATCCGCAGAGAGGGATACTTCAGAGCTGTGTTTGTTCAGTCTCGAGAACGCGTCGTACGAGACCGCCCGCAAAAGTCTGCTCGTAGCAACACTCGCCGAAACTACACCCGCCTCCTACACTATCAGAACAGTGCCTACGCTGAGTGTGTATGGCAGTTCCATGCGCCAGATGGGCCGGTTCCGGGCGTGGCTCGTACGATGCTGCGAATAACAACAATGGTGGTGGTAGTGGAAGTGTTCGTCGAGCGATTGAGGGTCCAGGTGCTCGCGGACATCCTATTGTCCTGTATCAGGGGAGTTTGGCGTTTTGGTTCTTTTTGACTCTTGCGGCAGTTCCGTTGCGGCCCAGATGCTCAAGCAAGAGGCGTGAAGCTATATTGGATCAGACATTAATCTTGCTAGTTAAACGCACCGGGGACTATTGTCATCTTCGAGACAGGCGGCTTCGGCGAATTTGCCGTGCTGCTGAAAATTGTATCTGGCAGGCTCGTACCGCGTACGACTTTACTTACCTACCTGCTCGCTACCCGATACAAGAGACAGAGCATGCAACTCCAGAATCTTTGCGGGAACACCTGCGCTGGTACACGATACTTTGAGCCGGTCCTACGACTACGCAGAAGTTTCCAGGACATCGTCCCTCTTCCATCAGACGTCAATTCGGCGGCTTCGGGCTTTCGGAACTTGAGGGAGATAGTTTGTGGATAACCTTACTCAATCAGTCAGAAGGAGCTCCAAGACTAGGAGTAACAAGCCTAGGAAAAGACATGCTCTTGTTGATAGATTTGGATGGATGAGCGGGTAACGAGGGCCATCGACGAAAATCACACTTTGGCGATGTCAAAGGGAAAGCTTGCCCATGAGTAGCTACTCATTTCAACTTAAGGAAAGGGGTTATGAAAGGAGTGTTATGATACGTGATGGCGTTTTCGGGGACATTGTTGGTCCGATGTTCAGGACCAATTGCCGGTGAATAAGCCCAATTAGATCTGAAAGAGCGTCTTTAGTGAAGGATTCATGATCCTTGCAAGTATTGCCAGGCGAGAAGACTAGGCTTTTCATGGAATATGATGTAATATTAGCTCAAGCCTAAATGCAGTGGATAGCAACGCCAAGACTAGCAAAGAGTGTTTCCATGTTAGTTTCAAAGTAGCATCGGCCTCGGGCGATACGGCAAGGCCGTCACGACTCTCATTGTCTTCAACTCCATGATAATAGCGCGGTGTTGAATCGAACATAGATAGAAGTAAATCACCACTCCGACTGTTGACTCAGGGTTGCTGTCTTTTCAACATTGAACATATTGCAGTTATTTTCGGCCAACATGATATTTCGGAGTCACATTCTCACCGCTGTAATCGCGCTTCTGTCCGCTGTCACCAGCATTCAAGCCGCCTGTACATCATAAGCCCCCGGTACAGAAGGATACAACGGCGGAAAGTGCAAGCCCGACAAGGTTCTTTGCGGCAGCGCAGGCTCTACCATTGCATGTTGTGACACTACGGCCTGTTCTTAAAAGTGTTTTAATTCGTTAAGAAAAGCTCCCAGAGCTATAATTGACATCTTCACTGCAGTCTATTTGGTTTCGTGAATGAGCACGGCTTATGCCTGTGGACGAGGCCAATCCTCTAACCCCTTGCATCATCAGCCTCTCGTAACATCCAGAAACTTGCCTCTACTTTGAGGCCCGAGACAGAGGAGACTATTCTGGGGTGGGATCATGTCACCGTTCAGGTGTGAATTGTGAACTTTAAACCTTCCAATGAAGTGCAGAGGGAAGGAGGGTGATGGTTCAGCACACCTAGTGTGTGCTCAAGGTGCCCAAAGTGACCAAGGCGAAGCTGTGTTGACCACGACATTGACATCCATCAACTCAATGTACCGATTACGTACTGGAAATTATGATGGGAAAATCCCCACTGACAACGCGATCGGCTGTTTTTCAATCGGAAGATCTGCTGTAGGTACGAGGAGAATTCCGTCACTTCGAGACCGCGCGAACCTTGACTTAATCGTATCGTGACCCATTGACTACATAACATGAGTACTATTGCGACCAGCCTTTGACCTCAATGGCTGACGTGGCAATGCTAGCTCGTCCACGAAAATAGGCTGTGTGATGATATTCGCATTTCAAAAGTTCCGACAAACCCTTACCTACACGTATGTTACCTTAGTTTTCGGTTGGCCTAGACATCAAGGCTTAAGACCAATGTCTGGGATACAGACTGGACTGAAAAGATGGCGATAGACCCTTGTACCTTGCCTTCTCCATGTCGCCAATGCAATGGCACCAGTGCGTAGTTGAGTTGCGTATGTAAGCGGTTAACCGTATCTTGAAGAGTCCCGCTGACCTCGGTAACGCCGATGTATCTCCAGTGAACAAGGACCAGAATACGAATTCAATGTTGGCAACCTTTAAGAGACAGAACGTACAGTGTCGCACATAAACGCTTGATCACAGCGGCGATGTCAGGATGATTTAGAGAAAACAGGTTTGTGGTAGAGCAGTGTACACCTTAAACTGTCGAGATGGTACCATACATCTGATGAATAGACTCTCCGTGTCTTGCGCCCGAAGGGTACGCCGACCTCAGTCCAGAGAATTTGCGTGCGAATTGGCCTGGTGATCGCAAACAACCAAATCCACATTCACCAGTATTTCTCGCCCACACCCCTAAGCACAACCCAAATTCGTTTCCGTATCTTGTCGTACCGTAAGTACGTGATAGTGGTCGTTCCTATCCTCCACTGGTGCATAGAGCCGTTGGTGATTTAAATCGACTGGATAACGATGCGAAAACTCTCGCCGATACGGCTGACTTGCACAGACTTTGAGCTCGTTCCGGCCGACAGAGTCTCACTTGCGATGATGCCGTCGCCGGCGTAGACGGTGTATTTGAAGGTGAGAGTGCTGAACGGGGCGCTGTGGTAGAAGGTGATCTTGAACTGGTCGTTGCCGAGGGGCTCTGCCTTGTACTGAAAGCTAGTGCCACCGCCAATGACAGACGTAGTAGGCCAAGGGACGATTCTCTCAAAGTTCTCCCTCGCCATCAAGACTGGGGCGATGCCTGCATCTTCGAGGGGCTGAGCGGAGCGCTCATTCGCCAAGGACTTGTCGCTCACGACGACGTCGCGCGTCTCAGCTGGAGCGGTCACGGCGGGCAGAGCGGCAGCGATAGACGCGAAGCCGAGGATCATAGAGACCTTCATGGCGATCACAAAGAGGATTCTTTGGAAAGTAAGGCAGTAGGAAATGATCCGGTAAGAAAGGGTCGTTATTTGGGAATATCAAAGCCTTCATGACAAGCTAAGCGGATGACTTCGCTGGCTTATATGTTTCAAGCACTGACGGTATCGCCATGGCATCAATCCGAATCATATCACATCATTTGCGAAGTTGGGAAGGTGGTGCGATGGGAACAGCGATGCTCATGTGTAGGTGATTAAGGTCTACCGACCGAAATAGAGCATTGCCACTTCAGATTGCGACCCCATCGTTCAATGCTTCCTATTTTGTAGTCTGACCTCCCTGAAGTAGAACACTTCCGTGCGGAATCGCATTGTTAACATCGTACGGTAGTTAAAGCACGCAAAGAGCATGAAGCAACGACGTGAAGATGACTTTAGCCGTTCGGTCCAGTATCTCCTTGCGGAAGGAGGAGCGTGTCCAGTGGAGATAGCGCAATACCTGGCCGGCTTGGATCCGCTGCCATAGCAGAGTCGGCCTTCCTATATCTGGGTTTTATGACGGGAGATACTACCGGCGCTGGAGAACGATTCAAATGCGCCGTGGGTCTACTGATCAGGCTGCTCCCGATCTCTCAATTTTCGGCTTGTTGCTTCTTCGATTTATCGATTACCCCACTCCTGGTACCTTGTCAACGTGACTATCCCATAAATCATCAAGAGTCTCGTACAGTGGGTGCCATAACACGGTCCATCGAGAAAGCAATGTCGAACTGCCTAACGTAGTCATCGCCAAGATAGACAATATATTCTCATAGTCTAGAGGAACACAAGATGGCGGGCTCTTTGTTCCCTCAGTACGCAATATTAGTTGTCTAGTCTCTTTGAGTTAAGTGCTTATCCTTGAAAACAAGAATGCTGTAGTATGGCGGGCTGACACTGTGGTCTATGTGTGAATATATGCACCTTCTCATTTTGCTCTGTTAGGAAGAACAGCGGTACGCCTTTCGTCAGGGATGTGATGAACTCAGACGATGGCGAACATTAGGGGAACAATAAATCAGGGGCAATTCGCCATCTGGAAAACATTTACCCATTAATCTTAGCTGCACTACAGTATCCCGCTTCTACTACCGATCCACTCCCGCAGAAGTCAACTCATCGCCGATCAATCCTCGTTCGGCGGACATTCAGGGCTGCGATGCCTGTTTATCCACGAGAGAGTTGCAATAGCAGGACTTGAATCCTAGCATTAATTCCCTTGGCACCATGGATGTGGCAAGGTTTGCTTGAGACGAGGATTTTCTCGATAATTGAAGGCTCTGTTGGGAAAGTATAGCCCGAGGATGACTTGAGTCAACCGTGCTTACAATTTGTTATTGCCGAGCCACGACTCGTTGAATTGTCAGCACTGGCCAGTTCCTTTTGTTCTGCAGTTCTGCAGTGCTTCTCCTTAGACTTGGAAAGTTGCCTCTCTCTTCCATTCCACTTCGTTGGCCGTGTACTCCGTATTATTCTGCTGTTGGACCTCTCTTATACTGCGCTTGTCTTTGACCGTTCTCTCTCAAACTCCAGACACTCGCTGTTCTATGATGGATGGGCCTGTAGGGAGACAGACATAAGTAACATTCCTTCGAGGATTCTACAAGGTATTCTCGAGTGTCATTTCTTCCATCTCAAATACTCGCTCTGATTACTTCCAACCCAATGCTGCATAACATATAATGAGACCAGGCTTGGGCTTCGAAGCGGCCAGTGGCTGAGCTGGAGTCCCTTTGGCGCGGTGGCCCCGGGGGTATGTTGACTTATTACTAAGTCGGCAAGGCCTCCGCCCCGTCTCATCAAAAGCTCATCTCGTTAGAAGATAATACGAAAGTACACATGATCGATTCGACGCTAGCGCCAAATGAATATCATCGCAAAGCGAAGATTCGAGTAGAAGACATATACAGTAAAAAGTGACTCGATTTATCTTGGTGCGAGACCTATACGGGGTCGCATCTAAGTGCCTTACAAGACTCGCAGCCGTCTCGTGGAAAGCGATATATAATGCGTAGCGCCACACGTGGTAGTGACAGGTTTTCGACTACAATAAAGGGCCAGCGATCTTAAACCGGGTGTCGACTGGATATAAAAGTAGTGGCTTGTAAGACAAGCCTAGAGTTCAAAAACAGACACAATCCATCAACAGAGGCTAGCTAACAGTCTGAGCCACTATAATATCAAGTACTCGACCTCGTCTTGTATGTTTCCGCCATTCGTCTGGCACATAACTTGAGTACTTATTGTCTCGAGACTTGAAAAGGATTTCACGACTGTGCTTCTTGGCCGGTGGAACAGGTTTTGCGGAAACAGAATACTTTCTCAGACTGAGTGAGAGCGGCCGATCATACCTTATGAGTGAGTTTTGCATTGCACTAGCAAACGAACAATTGAGCAAACGGAGCGGCAACTTGAGAGTACAGGTGATATGTGTATGGCCGGCTTCTAACATGTAAGCTCTAGAATAGAATTTGGCGATATTTCACGATGAAATTGCTTACAGTCACAATTTTCATGACTTCGAATATGAGTCTCTTGTAGAGGCTTCGGCTCGGCTCAAGCGGTTGGGGCCAAGCAGTTCGGTTCGGGTCAAACGGATCACTATCGATGAAGCCAAGCGTACGAGCAAAGAACCCACCATGCGAAATCCGACGATATGTACGGAGTATTACTCGATCAGTTTCCTGGCGCGTAGCTCCAAAAATCTTCCTTCTCAAATCAGAGGGTATCATGTGGAGTTTTGTCCCTTGACGTATGATCGCGGAATTTCGTTGAAATTGGAGAAGCCGATCGCAGGGTGGGTGTCGCAACGATAATTGTCAATACCGAGAGACCTACCGAGCCGGCTTCTTCTCAAGGTAACATTCAATTCTTCCGCCAACTAGCTAACAACCCTCGACTCCACATTCGGCATTCGGTGGGCTTCCCCGCCTTTTCAGAATACGCGGAGAAGTGGGTGAGGCCTCGCATACATGTTCGCCGTAGCTTCGGACTTACGAGTTGGCACCTATATAAAAGTATGAGATCCAGATCCTCTACATCAAAGGGGAAGGTGGTGCATTTTCCCATCCTTCAACATGATCTGAAGTTCCACCCTCCTTCCAAATTTCAAGATGCAGATCTGGACGCCATTCACTCTGGTCGCTCCTTTGGCGCTAGGCAGCATCTTGATGCCCAGTATTCACGCATTACCCGGCCCGAGCGTGGAAACGAAACAGGGCATTGTCGCCGGCTTTCAAGATGCAGCAGCACCAGGAGTCGCGCAGTTTTATGGCATTCCCTACGCTGAAGCGCCCATAGGAGAGCGAAGATGGCTTCCTGCCTCGCCCAAAGAGTCTTTCGGAACCTTGGACGCGTCAGTGAGACGTCCGTCTTGTCCACAGACGGATCCGCCTGGCACCGGAGGCGCGTGGGCTGCTGAGTTCTTAATTCGGCCGAATAGCACCAGCGAGGATTGCTTGACACTTAATATATGGACTCCGGCCAATCCTTCCAAGGCTCTCCCGGTTGTTGTCTGGATTCACGGCGGTGGATTTGGTGCGGTATCGTACCTTCCTTTCATATTCCCCTCAGGCGCTGTTTGTGAGTGGGAACTCAGGTTCTAATAAAGGCATAACAGGGAAGTAATGATATTGCCTATCAAACTCCCACCCGATGGGTTCAGAGGAGCCAGAAGCATATTGTCGTTGCCATAAAGTAAGAAATATGATTGCTGCCGCTGAAACGTCTTACTAACATGATCATTCAGCTATCGCGTCGGGCTTTGGGGTTTCCCAAACGCCGCAGGCCTTGAACAAACGCAACAGAATCTAGGGCTTCTGGATCAGCGGTTGGCCACGGAGTGGGTGCGAGACAACATTGCACAGTTTGGAGGTGACCCTGAGCACATTATTCTCTGGGGCCAGAGTGCTGGAGCCGGATCAGTCTCGTACTATCAATACGCCTACCCCGACGATCCCATTGCCATTGGCTTTATCAAAAACTCGGGATCACCCTTCATCCCAATCGGAAGTGACGATGCAGTACATGGCAACTTCTCTTCCCTTGCAGCCGCATTCGGATGTCAAGAAGACGAGCTTGGCTGCTTGAGGGAGATTCCCTTCCGGAAGATACAAGAGTACCTCGATCAAGCTGGCAATTTGACATTCAACGTTATTGTAGACGAGAAGACCAAGTTCTCTGACTACGAGAACCGAACTTTAGACCGGAGGGTTGCTAAAGGCGTAAGTGTCAACCCCGTCTAGGCACATAATAGCCATGCTGACTTTGTCATCGGGAAGCCCTCAATCGTTGGTTCGACTAGGGATGAATGGAACTTCGCCGGCAGCACTACCATTCCTCCAACCAATGGATCCGACGTGGTTCCAGACAATCTGTTCGGCTGCCCGGCGCAATACGAGACCAGTCTGCGAAATGTGGCTGGTCTCAAGACCTACCGCTACATGTATTCCTCCAATTTCACCAACATCATGCCCGGAGGCCAGGGCGCATTTCATTCTGCAGAACTTCCGCTTATCTTTGGAACACATGATATTGCTCGTCAGAGTTCTACAGCGTTTGAGTATGAAGTCAGCGAGGAGATGCAGGACTTGTGGTTGTCATTCGTACTCGATCCTGAAGATGGACCGGTTACTGAAGGTTGGGAAGCGACGCCGCTCGGAGGCCTTGAGACACTGCAAACAGGTATTGACCTTGGGCACAATGGCTCTGTTGTACAGCCGTTCTCTTGGAGTTCCTGGCAGACCGCATGCGTCCACGGTGTTGTTGCCTAAGATGATCAGGTGAAGGCTGGATCGGTTGAGACTTTGGTAAGATGGTTATTTTAATAGTAATTAGCGACCACAGACCTTTCATCCAGCTCTCTGGCCGTCTGACACGAGATGTAGAAGTGTCGTTTGGCCATCGTTTCGATGCGATGACACTGACTATGACAGCAGTTGACAAATAACTCCCTTGCGAGTCCGCGAGTGCTGGAGATAGGAGCACGACGAAGTATTGCCTTTACTTATCAACTAGAAGGATCTGCAAGTCGTTTGGACTTCCGTTCGATTGACGGCTAGCATGAACCTGACAGGTGCCACATCTGTGACCGTGCGCCTCAAACGGCTTTGATAAACAGGGAATATGAGACATGCCAACAAGGCCCAGACAAAGCTCAATCTTCACTGGCCATTCAAGCAAGCCAAGTGCGTCTTCCTCAAAACCCAAAAGAGTGGTTACACCGAAAGCTACATACCTCATCAAGGCCAATAGGGATGCTGGGTCCGGAGTGTGACTACATCTAGACTTCCCCGAGCGAGCCTGCAGACGGGGACGGATCCCGATTGAATGCAGGCGGGGAGAATGTCCGATCTAGTCGGTCAACTCAAAACATTGGGTGCTGACAGACTATCGGCTTTCCGCCCCGAAAGAGCTGTCCCAACATTGAGCAAACCTTGCTGCGACATACAAGCCTGACATCTCTCGGTATCGGGTGCCGCGACAAGCGTGCATTCCTGGTACACTAGGATAGACTCAGCCTAACGCATACTCGCCCTTTCGCTCCTGCTGTCAAGGTTTGACTAAAATACAGTTAACGGTGTCTGATGTTCGGATTGCTGCGAAGCGCCCAATGAAATCGCCTACGCGCCGGGCGCCACCCGAGTCTCGCGCACCGCTCGGCTAATTGAACGCCAAGTGAAGAGCTTAACCTCTTTCCCCGATTGAAATCATAACATGAAATTGACTTTGCATACAGAAGTAGTACATTATCGTACAAAGGTTCGGATATTGGCCTTGACAGTTCCCGTAGCGGCTACTTTGACACGATGCCACCGGTGAAGGCCCGAGAGCCTTGCCACCCCGCTTAAGCGCTCAAGAAACGTGTGAAATGATTATGTCCATCTAAGGCTGAACACATCTAATGCCTTTCCCCTTCACAATGTGACTATGTACCTCGAGAATAAGCATGAGTTCAGACCGTAAACTTTGCAAGCGCCCAGTCTAACACCCTAGCGCAGTCGCTTATGCCTCCTTCCTCAAACTCCCAACAATTAGAAAGAATTTCCTTTTGTGCAAAGATCGTCCGCTTCCAATTTTGAGGGTACGTGACCTTTGTTGGCATATTCAACGACGGGATACTCTGTGCCCGCTCTGCGGCCGTCAGAATTAGAGAACAGGTCACGAACCCCCTCAGTTGTAACCAGAGGCCGTGATGAGGTGTAGACGAAGTAGCCTGGATCCTGAACAAACAGTACTGTAGACCTCGCGAAGCAAGCTCTGCTACCCTTGCGACCATGTGTTCTGATACCGTTAAAGCGATGGAGATGGTTGAAGCCAACCGGACGAAAGGTCTGCACAGAAGCTCCTTCATCGCCAGGTACCGTCCACGAAGCATTTGGCAAAGGTCATCACCCAGAGGAGCGATGTCTCCGGTGGGTATTTGGAATGATATTGGCGGCGGCAACGACTCGTACCAATCTGATAGTTGGGCATCAAAGACCTCAAATACTTCGAGCATGCGGTCAATGCCGTGCTCAGTCGGGTGGGGAGGGCACCTCTTTTGGGCCTGAGTGAAACGATCGATCAGTTGCCTTGCAGAGATCTCTGCTAAATAGTAGTACCAGGATCTTTGCTCCATCATCAGGACTTTGTTATCTAGATTCATGACCCCGAGTGTTGGTGGAGTGGGCAGACTGTATGGGTAGTCTACACCGGCGAGGATGGAACCGGGGAGAGACAGCTCAAACGCCAGCTCACTGCAACCGAGTCTTAGCCAATGATCAAACACACTACGGGAATGTATTCCGGACAGGACATACCACTCAGATTTGAAGCAAGTGAAGTATAATATTTGCTCCATTGAGAGTGACTGGGGGAATTCAGGCGTCTCGGCTTTAGCCGGCATGGTGAGTCTGATACGGATGTCAGCCATGGGAAATCCAAGAAATGCCAAGGAGAGACAAACTTGTGTGTGAGCGAAGTAGTATACCAGGTGTTACTCGCCATACTGAAGCATTTCCATGCTTGTAAGGGATCCATGTTGTACATGTGCCAGATTCTGCCACACTAGTCAGCCTTACATGTACGACTGACCAAGAGCCGTGACAAGTCAGATACGCGGGAGGAGCCGTCTTACCCTGCAAGGCACAAGCATTGTACTGACTCCCATCCAGGTGAACCCATGGAGAGGCCCAGTCGTTTCTCGGCGACTGACCAATACCTTGACGCCAGATGACGGTTAGGCTCCACGGAGTATCCACGAGGGGTTCCGCTTGGCGTCCTCTGCCCAGGTCTCTGGGATATGGCGCCGAGGGCACAAGATAATGCAACGATACAGGTAGATGCCGACCAGTCAGGGCCGTTTTCCGCGACCTGCTTTAACATCTGTCGCAGCATTTGAGCATCGACGACGGGATTCATGGGATGAACATTGGTCAAGTACAAGTCTACCAGCCGGGATAGCTCGTAGAACTCCATGGCGGGGGGTGATCTGGGGGAAAAGGCTTCCCCACGTGGGGAAGCATGGCTGAAGGGGTCTATCGCGAAGGGCACCGGTTTAGGAAAGATTGGCCACTCCAGCACGGAGTCCAGTCCGGCGGTATCCGATAACGAGGGGTGAATGGACTTCTTGGCCTCATCCGCGGCACCTCCATCTTGCCCAGACAGGAGACCATCTTGACGTCCACCTTGGAAGATTGGACTGTCTGGATAGTCGCTTGAGTTACCGGACAGGTCGCGGCTAAGTTGTGGTATAGCGCGAAAGTTCTCCTCGTTGCGTTGAATTAGGTTGGCCAAGTTCTCTATTGCTCCCAGCAAACGTGGTCCAACACCTTGACATCTGACGGGAACAATCCACACTCCATTAGTATCAGTCCGATATAACGTGTCCATCCGGTTGAACCAGCGGCCATCCCCCGCAAAGTGTATGTGACCCGAACCCGTCGATCAGACGTGGGCCTCAAGACTTCAAGTCCGTATGAAATAAAGTAAACTTACAGTGACGTTGCCGGAGCCGAGTCCTCGATATATGTGCAAGTTGCCCCGACCCTCTGACAATAGCCGCATATCGGCCTCTCGTTATCGCATTTCGTCTTGCGGCCACGGCACGTCTGACAGGCAGATGAGGCGCGCGACCAAGTTCTCTGCTTCGGCATCCTAGGATCAGCTTGCTCGACATGCGCGTGATCGACGCCGGAGACGGAGCGGCCAGGAGGCGATCCGCCAGTAACGGCCGCCATGCCCATGTCGGGGAAACCCCGGCCGATGTCCATCCTCATCCTCTTCAGCGGTGGGTCCATTGCGACGATAGATGACTCCTGTAAACCTCGTTGTTCGGGATCATTTCTCGTGTCGGGGAGACGAGCGACGCGAGATGTGAGGGGGAAGGCAGGATGGTCGGCCCTGTCTGGGGATCGCGAGTTTAATTATCGTGCAGCATTGATCGCCGGCCCCCGCAGAACCGTTTCAGAACGCGACGCCATGGCCTCGGGAAGCGTGGAAGCTCACTTATGACTCGCCTTATCTGCATGTCATAGAGTCTGCTTAGTCTTGAGACTTTTGCGCTCGGGGACTCTTCCCGGTGAGTCTGCTCGGTGAGCACCAAGGTGAGCCATTCTACCGACTAGGGCAGCTCGCTTCGGGGGGCTTGCCGTCGGTGTAGGAAGTAGGCCAGGTGAAGTCTTTGTCAGCTTGACAGTTCTCCAGCGCTCCGACGCTTCTACTACTAGCGGCGTTAGTCCATCTTCACTCTAAGCCAGGTCTATCCATAGTCACCTAGCGTTCATCTAGTCTAGTCAGCGTGACCTGCCATCCGACTCCCGAGTTCCGTGATGGAATCTCTCACCCGACACTACGGGTCAATCATCCAAGCTAACGATGAACTTGGGGAAGAATCCACCGCCCGTGGGGAAACCGCAGACATTTTACGGGGTCGACTGGGGTACACAGGGGGGCTGGCCGCGTGGGAAGTTGAGAACTCCTCCATTCCGGCTCTTGACAGTGTCTCTTTTGACTTTTGCATATATCTCCAAGGTGTCCTTCGACTCAACTCTAATGGCATCGAGTTGATCCCGGCTCGGCGACTTCACTGCTTTCAAAGTCGATTGCAACTGTGGTCATTGAAGAAACCAACAGCCTTCCAGTACAATCTCAGTGCAGCCCGACCACAACAAAATCAAGATGGGCTTCCTCAAGTCAAAGCCAGCCAAGAAGACGGCTGCACAGGCCGTCGGGTCTGACTTGCTCGCAGTGAGTCTTCCCTTCAATTTGCCGGCATCAACAACAGACGACGCAAGTCAGAAGCTATGTGAACATGAACTCTAACATCAGCTCGAGGTCCTGCCCGAAAACCCTGCACCATGGTATCGTACCAAGCACTTGCTTCTGCTGAACCTAACTCTATTGGTTCCCATGCTGTCGTCGGCTTCGGTCGGCTTCGATGGTATGTCACTGCTTCGTGTGAGACTTGTGAAGTGCCATCCTAACATTTGGAACCAGGTGCCATGATGAACGGTTTGCAGACCATCAAGCAATGGCGCGGTTACTTTGGTAGCCCTAGCCCATCCGTGCTCGGAACAATGAACGCTGTGTATCCCATCGGCAAGATCATGGGCCTTATTCCGACTACATACCTGGCGGATAAGTACGGCAGAAAAGTGCCCATGTGGATTGGGTTCTTCCTTCTCCTCGTCGGAGCTGCCCTCCAGGGCGCAAGCACTAGTCTGCCCATGTTCATCGTCTCACGATGGCTTCTCGGTGCTGCCACTGCCTTCATTGCGCAGCCGGCACCTATTCTCGTGACCGAGCTTGCCTACCCGACCCAGCGAGGCAAGATCTCGAGTCTCTATAATACCTTCTTTGTAAGTCTTCCTAGCTACCTAGGTCTATGTCAAACCTCTTGTAAGAGACTTTAGCTGACACCTGCCATAGTTCTTCGGAGCAATCTTAGCGGCTTGGTCAACCTATGGCACATTCCGACTGACCTCAACTTGGAGTTGGAGGATTCCGTCTATCTTGCAGGGAGCTCTTCCTGCGATCCAGTTCGCTTTCTTCTACTTCGTGCCTGAGTCTCCCAGATGGCTCATTGCCCATGGTAAAACCGAACAAGCCCGAGAGATTCTCACCCGCTACCACGCCGGCGGCGATGCGTCTTCGCCTCTCGTTGACTACGAGGTCAAGGAGATCGAGGAAAACGTCCGTCTCGAGACCGAGGCGTTGCGCGAGTCTTCGTACCTCGATCTCGTCAAGACGGCACCCAACCGTCGCCGTACGCTCATTGCTGTCATCACCGGTCTCGGAGCCCAGTGGTCTGGTTCTGGAGTTATCTCTTACTACCTCACGCTGGTTCTCAACACCGTCGGAATCACCGAGACCAAGGATCAGGCCCTCATCAACGGCCTGCTTCAGGTTTTCAACTGGTTCGCGGCCGTGTTTGCTGGCGCCATGATGGTTGACCGGATTGGTCGCCGCAAGCTCTTCCTCATTTCGACTGCTGGTATGCTCGGATGCTACATCATCTGGACCATCCTCACCAGCGTCTTCACCAACACCAAGGACGAGCGAGCTGGCTACGCCGTGGTGGCTTTTATTTTCATCTACTACTTCTTCTACGATATCGCCTGGTCGCCCCTCCTGCTCTCATACCCGGTCGAGATCTTCCAGTACACTCTGCGTGGAAGGGGGTTGACAATGTCCCTGGGATCGACTTTCGTAGGTCTCATTATCGGACAATTCTGTAATCCCATTGGAATGGCCAACTTGGGCTGGAAGTACTACATCGTCTTTTGCGTCATTTTGGCTCTTCTGTTGCTCTTGATCTGGCTTCTCTTCCCTGAGACCAAGGGCCGTTCGCTTGAGCAGATTGCCGAGGTGTTTGACGGCAAGAACCATGCCTTTGGCAGCAGTGGCGTTAGGAGCGACAAGGTTGATGACGAGTTTGTTGAAGTTGAGAATGTTGCGGATAGGAAGGCCTAAGATAATAGGCCAAGCCATGGTCGATGAAAGCCTACGTAGTTGCGAGCTTACTAGAACTGCAATCGATTGTCAAGTTTCTTGTCCACATCTCAAGTTCTTTCATGACCCCAGCTGACAAGTTTACATTTGTCTTAGTGAGGGCCAGTAGTATGATGCGATCGACGAGGCAAGTTACCCCCTAAGCCAAGACATCTGATGGGAGTTGAGCGATACACTTGCAGAGTGGTAGACTTCGACGTCAGCCGCGCAATGCCACGTTCACCTACCGGCGCTTCTGCTTAGCGTCCCATTGTCTCGGGATGTATCCCAGCTGGCCGGAAAGCCAATCGCGCGTTCCGGCCGGGTTTCCATTGCACATAGAAGAGTGACTGAAGTCTTGTCAGGCCCCGACTGCCCAAGTAAGTGGCCACCGGAGGCAACGCGCAGTCAACCTACTTAACTTAGCAGACTACTAAGCCTTCGTGATCCTTGACAGTATTCCTTCTCAGCGCCGCCAGAAGTATGTCGTCCTCTTTTCGGGGTTCTTGCCTATGCGGCGGGATTGAGATCCAGACTTCGTCGACACCACTCGCTGTCCTCTCCTGTTTTTGCATTCATTGTAGCAAGGGTGCCGGTGGGTCGCACCAAATAGTAAGACTCCCAATTGTTGAAAACACCAGAGTGATTGCTAATTCGGTTTTTGCGGCAGATTGCAAAGTTTGAGACTCAATTCGTCCGAGTCCTCTCAGGGAGCAATCTCATCTGCAACTTCACGTTGGCCGACACATCCAGTGGTTCTCCAAAAGAAAAGTCGTTCTGTCGCACTTGTGGGACCCCGCTGTGGACGACCCCCTCATCCGCAAAGGGGCGATACATACTCATCCGGACGAGTCTGTTGGAGGGCGGGTAGGTGATGTCTCTCCCCTGCGTGCCCGGTTGGGGCTCCCAACTGACGGATGTCGGATGCAGCACCGAACTGCGACCTGATTCGGAGATTTTTGTCAAGTTTCGGCCGCCTTGGCAGCAAGTGGTCGACGGAGCTGTGCAATGGGAGCAGATGAGAAAATAAGCAGAAACGGAGAGTTGCTGAGTTGCTGGACAAAGAAGCTGGGGTAAGATGGGGGGCTCATGACTCGGAACTTGTCCGTTTGAACAAATCATAACTCGATCCGCTTTCCGCTTCTCGCTGGTGCCACCATTCGATCCATGCTTTGCTTCTCTCTGTTGTGGTCTCAGGTATGGAGGAGTTCTTCAGGTGGCCTCGGAACTCGGTGTGATCCCCAGACTTTCAACCTTTCTCCATCCAAACATTTCATCCCGAACTCTGCACATTCTCCGCAATCTTTGTCTATCTTACTCGACCGAAGTCAATCCGAGATCCATGATCTAAATCTAGATTTCCCAGGCCATTGCGGCTTCCGAGATAAGTCGCCCGTCATTCCGAGCTTTGTCTCGTCTGGGAAGAGACTCCAGTCTCCGGCGGAAGAGCCCATCTACCCCCACGCTTTGCGCCCGGTGGGAGGAAAGGGAGAAAACAATGGAGCCGAAGCCAAAGCGGATCAAGATTGATGTGGCATGTGAAGCATGTCGGAGGAGGAAAGTCAAGTGTGATGGAGCACGCCCAGGTGAGTGATCGGTGAAGACCCCAGCGTGAAGGAAACGCGGCTTGGAGAGTCTTGGCCCGCGAGGTTAGACTGAAGTCGATTGGAATCTTGCTAGGAAGTTTGTAGAACATCTGCTTTGCCTTGATTCATGAGCTGCCCGCGCAACGCGTGCGTTTCTGCCCGTGCTACGGCTGACAGCAACTTATAGCGTGCGGCAACTGCTGGAAGAGGACCGATTTGAGAAACGGCTGCACCTATACCTCCGAGACCGAGAAGTCGTTCTCAGGTAGTAGTAAACTTGCAGATGCAAGTCCAGGCAATCCCGAAAGGGCAATGCCCAAGATCGTCCACACGCCCGAGGCCAACTTTGCGCAACCCCTGATGCCTCCCATCTCTCGCCCGGCTCCGAGTGCGACGCCTAAGTCGACCACCTCCTCGGGTCCAGACCTCACAAGGCGAGGTCGAGTTGAACGGCACCCCATCACTCCATCCGATGCTAGCCCTTCAGTTGTTGATTCCATGACCACGGTCCGCGAGGATGGCATGGTGACTGGCGAGTACTTTGGCAGTAGTAGTGCTGGGTCTTTCACAAACCAGATCAAAGCTGCCATTGATGCGAGGCTGGGCTCCTCGACAGAGAATAGGGGTGTGAGAAGCTCTCTTTTCCGTTCGACACTTCCTCTCAATGGTTCTGGTGCGGGAGGACAAGCCGATTATGTCCTGCCAGCCCGTAAGCAAGCTGATCACTTGACCGATCTCTACTGGTACTACGTTGATCCGTTGTATCCCTTCCTGGACCGACAGAGATTCGAGCATTCTTATCGAGCGCTGTTTGCTGGTACCTCCCTCGATGCCGATGAACGAATCTTTGTGAGCATCCTCAACATCATATTCGCACTTTCCACGCAGTTGATCGAGTCACTGCCTCCGGATCAGAGGGATTCCTCCAGCCAGGAATATTTCACTCGCGCACAGAACTTACTACAGCTGAGCCTTTGGGACACTGGCTCCATCGAGCTGATTCAGTGTCTGTTAATTATGAGCCAGTATCTCCAAAGTACAAATAATCCTCACCAGACGTGGATGATTGTCGGGTCTGCCGTGAGGATCGCTCAGGGCCTTGGCCTACATTTGCCAGAGACGGCATCGGAGCTCTCGAATGAGCCCGAAAGAGATCTCGTGAAGAGAATTTGGCATGGATGTATCCTGATGGATCGGTGAGTTTCATTCTGACACCACACTTTATGTGCATGGCACCTCTGACTTGTTGACTAGAATGATTGCCATCACACATGGACGCCCGGCGATGATCTCAGATCAATTAGCGTTAAGTGTGGTACTACCTTCGATCCCGGATACCAACGTCACCAGCGTCGACGAAGTACAGCTAGGTGCCGTTCAGCTTCACAAGCTTCGGTATCAGGCCTTTTTCCATAAGTCGCTCGAGCTCTACGAGGTTATCAACCACGCAGTCCTCGCGTTTTACTCGTCAACATCGCCGCTTAAGTCGCCTACCTACCCCAACGGCACTGGAAGCAAGACTCAGCGCTCCTTGGATAGGACAGAGCTAGATCTTGGGAAAGCTCTACAGCTTGATCAGCGCTTGACGAAATGGGAGAAGAGCTTGCCCAGCTTCTTGACTATGGCCGAGCCTGAGACTACTCTGGACGAGGTCTTCCGCAGGCAGGCGGTAATCCTGCGTATCAGGTAAGTACTTGCGACTCGAGTTGGCTTATGGTCGACCTGACCATCCCTTGAGCCACGATTGACAACTTATAGGCTCCTTCATGCACGCATGCTGCTCCTCAGGCCTATGCTCACTCGATTCTGCCTTTCTCAGTGCCCGGAAACCTCCCAGGTCCATGATGACCTCTCATCTCGCGTCGCTCAGCAGTGCGCCATGGTCTGCGTAGAAGCCGCGCAAAGTCTCATCTCCTTCATCGTACAATTCCAACAACACGATGGCACCCTCGGCCTACTCCCAGCCTGGTGGTACCGTGTCTTCTATATCTACACAGCCGCAACTGTGCTCATAGCAGCAAGACTACGACCCGCGGTCTTTTCTTCGCTCGACATCTCTCGCTCGTGGAATCAAGCGATGGCTCTGCTCCATGACCACGAGAACCTAGGGCCTTCTCCGCGGAGATGTGCCGCGGCGCTTCAGATCCTCTCAACCAAGATGTTCCAGGATCAACAACCTCAATCAGCTGCTCTCCCAAGCGCGGATACCAGTGCAGCGGTGCCCAACATCACCAATGAGCAACAGGAGACCTTTGATATGCCTTTCCCTTACTTGGCGCAGGATGCAGCATTCGACATGGACGCAATCACGTTCGACATCAATGACTTCTCTTGGCTTAATAGTATGCCTGGAAGTTTATAACCGGTAGTTGTCAGCCCCCATCATGTACATTCATCTGCAAAATACCCGGCCTCCGCGCCTTTCATGCTTATTCTCGAACCCCCGATATTTGACAATTCATTCGTGACTTCTTTCTACTCAAACACCATCTTGTTCTTTACACTGCCAAGCTTACTTATCCTTACCTCCACCACATCCCCATCATTCAAGTACTTCGGGGGCTTCATACCCATAGCAACACCCGACGGCGTCCCAGTCAACACCACAGTGCCGGCTTCCAACGTCGTTCCTTGGCTGAGGAAGCTGACAATCTCCTCCACGCCGAAGAGCAAGTCGCCCGTGCTCTCGTGCTGTCGCTCCTCGCCGTTGACAAAGGTCTGCAGCAACAGGTCGCTGGCGTTGCCAACCACTGCCGGAGAGACCAGAACAGGGCTGAAGGGGGCGAACTTATCGAATCCCTTGCTGAAGCACCACTGGGGCACGCCGCCAGCCTTTGCAGGGTCTCTTTGCCAGGCTCTTGCTGATACGTCGTTTGCGGTGAGGTAGCCAGCGACATATTCCAACGCGTTTTCCTTGGGGATGTTCTTGCCCGACTTTCCAATTACGAAGGCCTACCCTTGTAAGCGACTTCTATCGAAAGTTTATTCCAGAGAATCGATACTCACAAGTTCACCCTCGTAATCAACGGTTCCGTCCTGTGCAACCTTGGGGATCGGCACGTCCTCATTCCATGCAGCGACTGATGTTGCGGGTTTAATGAAGAGTGAGGGGAACGGAGGTGGGGTCCGGCCACCCTCCTTGACTGTGCTTTAAGTCAGATGTCTGTAGTAGCTTCATTCCGGGGAAGGTTGTAGTACTGTGCTTAACATAGTTGAGGCCAATGCATCGAATGATCGGAACGTCCTTTGGTGTAAGGAGCGGTCTCAGGGCCTTGACATGCACCCGCTCGCCTTTGGCCAGGGATGAGACAGGACTGGCACCATCGTAGATAGTAGCCCACAAGTCACTCTTGTCAAGAAGCGAGGTAATCTCTGGTTCGTCTTGCACCTCAGGCTCGCCAAAGTGCTCGACGTCGTTGTCGTCAACGAAGCGAATGAGACGATTCCAAGACATTTTGTTTGGTAGTGTGTCTGAGAATAGAAATCTGCTCAAAATAGTGAGTTCTTTCCCTGGTCACAACAAGCCGCATGAAGCTGTTCCCAGATTATCTCAGCTCCTTAAGTGTGCCTTTGAGAGGTGCACAATCGAGCCGCTCAATCGGAGCAGCCCCCAATTGACCAATCAGAGGTGGTTCCGAGGTTGGAACGCGGGGAGCTGGGTGACACATCGGAACTCGGGATTGCCTCAACTGCCAGATCGAGTCCCGTCCCGCGTGGCGCTTCCGCTGCATGGCTACGGGCAAGGGGGGTCAACAGTCCGGGGATAATGGGGAAACGGGCCTTGATAACCTCCTTCGCATGTCCTCTCCAACATCCAACTTCATCTTCGGAATCACGGCTTTCGCCATAGGATACACGAACCGATCCAGGCCACTATTCACACACGGTTATCAATACTCAGGCACAGCCACAAGGCACTCAGACTATCATACGCCAAGCACATCGAAGGGATCATTCACAATGGACTCCCCTCACGAGGACGACAACAGGGCCAAGGCCATGAACGACTATTTGGAAGAGTTGCCATCACAACACATGGAGCCTTTGTGGTCCAAGATGAACGTGATGGTCCCACCTACACCAGCACCCGTCGCCAAACCTTACATGTGGAAGTACGCCGACAGCCTCCCTCTTCTTCACAAGGCCGCAGAGATGGTTGGCGAACAGCAAGCGGAGAGGAGAGTGCTGATGCTGGTCAACCCCAATATGGGTAAGTGTCATTGTTCTACTCGTGACAACCTAAATCGTACTTGTACTCACATGGTCTTGCAGAATCCCCTTACACAACAGACACCATCTATGGTGGACTTCAGATCGTCAACCCTGGCGAGACTGCTCCTGCGCACAGGCACATCGCGTTCGCACTCAGATTCATCATCGACGGTGAGGGCTTCACGGCTGTTGAGGGGAAGAAGATGCCCTTGAGACGTGGCGATGTTGTCGTGACGCCGACATGGCACTGGCATGACCATGGAAACGAGAGCGATGCGCCGGTTATCTGGCTCGATGCACTCAACCTGCCGCTCTTCAGATTCACCCCTGTACACTTTGCAGAGCAGTACCATGAGAGCCGTTACCCAAGCGTGTACGTCTTTCTTAGATGATCAAACACGAATAGGTCACTGACAATTCATAGGTTCACGGAAACGTGCGAGTGGAGACACCCGTGGGGCCAAGTTGAAGCCGAGCTCAAGGCCCAGGAAGGCCCCTACGCCATCCACCACTACACAAGTCACGGCAAGCCCCTATCACCCATTCTCGGCGCGCAGGCCGAGCGCATCGACGGCAACTATACGACAAAGGAGGTTCGTGAGCAGGCTTCGTTCCTCTACCACTGCTATGAAGGCCAAGGCCGAACCATTGTGGAGCCGCCCACGGGACCCCGTGTGGTCTTCAAGTGGACTGCGCGAGACACATTTGCCGTCCCTGCGTGGTCCAAGATTCAGCATATCAACGAGGGTTCTACTACGGCGTACCTTGTTGCTGTCAGTGACAGGCCATTGCTCAGCAGCATTGGGCTTATCAAGCCGCAATCATGAGCGTTTGAGGGGAGGCAAGACCACGGGAGTACCTTCAGCAACAACCTACCAAGATTGTACATGTTCACTCACTATTAGCAGGCCTAAGGGGCTGTATGTACTTACTTAGTAATAATGAAGAGATTGAATGTAACATAGTCAGCAAAAAGATTTGGGGAGAAAGGTGATGTAGTTCGCTTGGCATTATCACCATCCCGTCATGTGTCAAAATATTGTCAGAATCTCATTCATCAATACCTCGACGCATTATTCATTGGGAAACTTCGTGAGATATTGGCTGCAGACACAATTCTTTACTCAACACCAGCACTTTCTGTTGAATTCAGTGACCCACAAAGAGCCGAAACCCACGAGGTGTTTACCCACAACAACACGGGCAGCTCCCGGACCTCGGCTGGATTACTCCTTTCGTCAAATATTCGACTACTCGCGATCGATTGTGATATCTTATAATAGCCAGGATCGAATTTAGATGTCGAAATTTTCGTGCCCGGGTAATTATGAACACTAATTCACTCTGCAGCTCACAGTGGTGGTATCATCTGCAGCATGTTCTTCCCAATCAACAGTCCTGAAATCGGCAAAATTTCATCATGGATAATTGCGACAGCATTGACGATGATTATCGTCAGCCACATATTCATTGTCAAACAATTACGTTACCGCCGGATGATGCAAATTGAAGCGCCGTTTGCTAAGTGTGGCAGGGAGTTGTCGAGTATGACCGTCAAAGAGTCCCACGAGATCATCACCCAGCTACAAGAACTCGAGTTTCCATACTCCTTCTCCAAAGCTCGCAAACTAGCTCTCCTCAAAGTGGGTTGCAGTCAATCTCTCTTAAGAAACTCATCCAGGCCAAAGGAGGACCAAGTCAGACTGATGAGAGATCTCTAAGTACCAGGCTGGGAGTATTCCATCAATGTCCAGACTATTTGCCGTTACAGGCCAGAACAACAAACGCAACGCGGGGAAACGATCAGTCGATACGGAGATCCTCCTCAGAGAAGTGCAGTCTAAGGCAAGAGACTCGGATCGATATGCGATGTCTGTGGCAAGAATGAACTTTCTGTAAGTCACCAAGTATCAAGCTTGATCAACAACTGGGGTCTATTCGTTGCTGACAGGCGGTGTTCCCACAGACATGCACGATACCGCCGTGCGAACAAGATCACCGACCCCGACCTACTTCACACCCTCGGCGACGGCCTTGCTGAGATAATCAATGTAGTCAACAGAAACGAATGGCGCAAATTGACCGATGTCGAAGTATGTGCTCTCGGCATCTTCCACAAGAACCTAGGTGAAGATATGGGCATTCCCTTCGATCTTTTACCCTCGTATAAAGAAGGCTGGATGGACGGGTTGCACTTTGCAATGGAGCTCAAGAACTGGACCGTCCAATACGAACAAGAAGTCTGTCAGCCGGTGCCGACAAATGACCAATACGTCAGAGTCTATGTCGACTCGGCCCTGTCTTCTTTACCTAGTTCCTTCAGGACAGCACTGAGGAAGTCGCTGGGAGCCGACTTGGACGACGTGGTTCGATTGAGCCTCAAGTAAGTCAAGTCAAGTAATCTTGAGACCACTGTAACCCTTGTAACTGATCTTCCAAAGTCTGGAATCTCCCGGAATCCTCCTCTCCACCTTTCTAGCACTAGTTCGCAACTCGAGGAAACTCGGGCTCCGTCACCTTGCCCTGCCGCGCCCCGACTCATCTGCAGTCAAAATCGTCAACGACACCCCGAACCCCGAGACTAAGCTCTACAACTTTGGACGGAAAAGCCTTCAACCCTGGTACATGCGGCCAACAACGTGGTCGACTTGGGGTCCGGGTGCATGGCTGGTCAAAGCGGTCGGTGGGAAGGTTCCGGGCGAACGGGGAAGCAGATATTTTCCCCAGGGATATGACTTGATGACCATTGGGCCTGAGCCTCAGCGGGAGAAGGGGAGGGGTGAGATGATATCGAATATGGAGGCGATCAAGGCAAGGGGAGCAGTGACCTGTCCGTTTTCGCAAGCGAAAGCGAATACGTTTGCCGCTCCTCAACGCCTCGGAACGAACTCTTAGCCACATTCTGAAATTACGTGTAGACTTGGTCGAAAGCGACCTGCAAGTGACTAGCAACGGGTTTTATGGACATGGCTTCATTCCACTCGCAACCGCGTGGCACAGGAACGTGAAATATATGGCAGGAGGCTCTCTTCACGGGGAGAATGAATAGACTACATGTTCCGCTCTAGTTACCAAGACAGGTTAGGAAGCCAGCCCACATCGGAGATTCTTCCAAATTCACGCTATCCCACCTAAGACCTACCCTTCCTT